GAAATCGTCCATTTATTGAATATCTGCATAGGAAACCACCTTTAGTGCTTTAACAAAAAGTTTTCGCTAGACAATTTTACTATATAAACATCTCTACCTACACCTAACCCAAACACTAACCCTAACATCAACGAACTTTGGAGAATTTTTATTGCGCCACAAACCTGGCACACATTCAAGCAAAGCCGTACGCACGTTAGTAGATAACGGCACTAAATTTTTTTGTTTAGCAATTTCAACAGTGAATGGTTCATAATTTGACAATAAAATTTAAATCATTCTAAAATTATCATAATTCGGCTAACACTGCATGATTTGTAGATGATCAAAATGGGTCCGTATTATTTCACCGACAATTTCGCAGACAGCTCATTTGACCGACATCACGCCAGTGAAATTTAGTAAAAATATATACATGCAACTAATCAAATGCTTAACCCTAACTTTATGTGATGTCGGCTAAATGAACATTTGGTGAAATGGCTGTGGTGAGTTGATCGGGACCGGATCAGGTCAAAATGATATGCATGTAAATACTATAGTTAATTGAAATTTCTAAAATAAATATTAGGTTATGCAACGTTGATTTTTTGTTTTACAAGTTTCGGCTAACTTGCTTTACAGTTTAAATTTTTTTAGTACCAATTTACCTAATATCACTCTTAATTTCTCAAAATTATACGTTTTATAAATCAACTGGAAAAAAACCTACAATTTAAACTTTAGATTTTATAAAATAAGCAAACAAAAGATTAACTTAGTACAGTCTTATAAATAGCAAAAATATATAAATTATAAATATTTGACCATTTTATTTTAAATAAAGTTTTTTCCGTGCCAAAGGCACGGGTCATATACTAGTAAGCAAATTAAATTATCGTCAAAATTTCACTAACTAGTAGATTCAAATACTGCCAAAGGGAAATGCAGATCTTTTAATTTTTATATAATAAAGTGCTCGTGACTTCACAACTGTGTTCATTTGCAAAACTTACGATTTTGATACGTCTGTGATACACCTCAATGCAGGGTTGGCAATGACTCAATGGCTATATTATATGTCATTTAGCATTTCAATCCTAATGACAAATGATTACCAGGATAAAACCGCCACCCAATAAAATCTTGTGATATATATTACGATTAGGGTACTTACTAACAGGGGTATCGAAAAATTAATTTCAACTCAATTATCACGCTTGCTAACAGGGTACCGAAAATTAATTGCAACTAAATTATTATGCAATTAAAACCAATTATAATTGTTATAGTAACCAATTAATGATAAACATAATTGCAATTATCACAGTTGGCATATAACTTTTTCAGAGAATAAAAATACCTATTCATTTGCCGGTCATTTGCTGCGCCGATCTAACGATTATCAAAAAACGAATAAAAATGAGAGATTTTTTCACTATCTGTAATCATTAAAATGTTAAAAAAAAAGGTAATCGAATAGTAAACCCATGGTTTGAATATGATTTTCAGAACACGAATATTTTGCACTTTGTTCCAGGTTCATAATAAAAATAGAAATTTAATATTATTATCTATAGGGTAAGTTACCCGGTATGAAACCAAAATTGCATTAATTTAAAGGTTAGCGTTAAGTTTAGAAAAGGTGTATTTATATGCAAAATTGAATGCTAAACATTTTTGCTTAATACCATTAGGGTGTCTTTCATAGTAAAAACTTTTAAGATATTGGTATTTTTTATTTTTCATATACGGTAACTTACCAACCGGATACAAATAGAAATCTTATAAAAAAATAATTTACAAAAAATGGTAGAATTAAATAAATAATTAGATTATTTATATTTTAAATTTTTAAATAAATTAAAATAGTTTATGTTTTAATTAGGATCTAAGAATATTAAAATTTATGCTATAAAAAAATAAGTTAAAACCAAAGATCATGTAGACCCATATACTATCTGGACATGTTGTAAGTTTGATTTTTATTAATTACTGATCTGGATAAGATCTGCAGAATTTTTATATTAGAATTTGGGGGAAATTACTATGTTTTTTATTATATGCTAAAATCTTACAACCACCTTGTTTATATGAAATTTATATAGTTATCTGATCATTTTTTAGTGTTATCTCGGCATATACTAGGCCAATTCGAATGATCTAACTACCATTAGATGCGTCTCAGTAAGCTCTACAACTTTTAATTAATTGACTTGAGCTGTTAGCTTAATAAAAAAATCACTTACTATAGTGGTAGTTGTAAGATTTCAGCATATAATAAAAGTTTATATTGTACTTATCCTCAAAATTTACTATTGTCCCAATATAGTAATTCTGCAGATCTTATTCAGATTATACATGCCACTGAAATAGGTTTTCAAAAAAACTCTATTTCGTCTCCATTAGAGCAATTTAGAATTTTTATATACAAGAGCAAATCTAATTTAGGTAGTTATATTTCTTATAATTTCATCTCTTCAAAAAAAGTATCAAAAAATTTCATCTTTTAAGTAAAATAGGTCAAAAACAATTTTGTCTTCAAATTTTAATTTCATACCCAAAACCCAAAATAATTTTGTCAGCATGTATAATCCAGATCATCAATTAAATAAATTTAAATAACTTGATTATACTATTAACTTGGATATTTAATCTTTACCAATAGTCTTATTATATATTAAAATAATATATATAGATAAAAATTATTATTCTATTATTATTTAATTGAAACTAGCATTTGAAAAACTTTATCTGCTGCAGCAATAGGTATTAATTAATAAAAATACTAACATGATAACAGAAATTTTAATTACTTATTGTTGCGGCTGAAGCTAGAAATGGCTGAAACTAAAAATTAGAAACCTTAATTTGAAATATAAATCTACTAAAATCTACTTATACATTTTTATTGTCAAAACTAACTCTAAATTCTGAGCTAACTATTAAAAATGCTAAATAAATGCACCTCTAAAAAAATATTTAAAATTTCCATTTTCAACTTCAGTTATGACATTTATTTTAAATACATTTTTAATAGTATAATTAAAATTTGAATTTAAACTTATTATAAATTAAAACTAATAATTTAAAATTAATTTATAATATTATAATTAATCTATTTATTTTTAAATTTTTTTTATACTTCAGCAATCTTTTATTTAAAATTTGAAAATTCAAAAAATTACAAAGAGATTTTTTATCTATAATTGTAATGAATTTAACCAAAACAAAGATTCACTTGCAGCTCATCAGGTATAAACCTGTGATTCCCAAACGTGATCTGCCTCAGTAACCCTTGGCCTTACTTAGAGTTTTTAACTTACTAGAGATTTTTTTCTTTCATTTAATGGCTAGTGGCTATATCTCATCAAGATGCAATATAGAAAAAAAATACATAAAGAAAATATTAAAACAAAAATAGAGATATAGAAAACTGTGATAAAATACAAATAGTAAGAAAAAAAGAGGTGAGAAAAGTAATAAGAAAATAAAGCTTGTCTATTCTAATGATCACAATTATAAACCTATATCAGACTTATAAAATTATATACTACTATATAAATTTAGCTTTACTTTAAATTTATCTAATTAGATAAACTCTTTTTATAGATCATTTGTACCAAAACAAACAAAAATTTTGCCTATAACAATTAAACATTATCTCAAGTTTTTATTAAGAAAGCTACTCTCAACACTCTAAGTAAACTTGTTTGCAAGAAGATTTTACATTATTTTGAAAGTTTCAAGTCTCTAGTTTTCAAACTCGTAGTATTAAACTACTTTAATGTTCTTTAGTTCTCAAATCAATTCTTCTTATAATTTCTCAAAAATCTTTTTCACAACTTCTCTTAAGCCACTAAAAAAATTGTAAAGTTCATTTCTACGGTCATAACAAGTCCTAAAAGAAGGCTATAAGCTTAATATTAACCAAAATACCACACAAAACAAATTCAATTCCCTAGCTTCTTTTACTTTCTCCTTATTTTCTCTATTGTTACTTTTTACTCTATACATTTTTCATGTAATATAAGATTATCTACCATATTTAGCCAGAACCTTCTGTCACATAGCCAACAACTTAGCCTACTGTAGCTATTGTTCTATACATAGCTCTAGTACAAAAATGCTTTTACAAATTTAGCTTTATTAAATAAACTCTAACTTACATAGCTATATATAGTCTTTATATAGCCAACAACACAGCCTACTGTAGCTATTGTTTGGTATACAGCCTCCACATAGCCAACAATATAGTCTACTGTAGCTATAGTTTTGTATACAGCCCTAGTACAAAAAAGCTCTTCCAAATTTGGTTTTATTAAGCAAATTCTAATTTATACAGCTATATATAGCCCAAATTGTTACACCAAGTTGCACTAGCCACTAGTGAAGAATATCTGAAAAATTTTTGTGTTTTTTGAGAACATAAATTATAAATTTTGGTTCTTAAGAAAAGTTTTTAATGTTCTTAAAAAAATTTTTTAATGTTCTCAAAAATTTTTTATAATTAAATTTACAAATTTTATATTCTCAAATATTCTCAAAAAGAGAACATAATTTTTGACTTTAATGTTTTCAAAATATATTTAATGTTCTTGAAAATACTGAAAATATTAGATATTTAATACTGCTAGCCACACCAGCTATATTTAATACAATTTAAGGTTATACTTAGAGTTATACAAGCCACACAAGTCACACTAGCCATAGTAGTCATGGTACAATCTTGAAACCTGGCTTTAGCCTACTACCTTGATTATAAGCATTCTATATCATTCTATATTTGAACTTTAATTACTAAAAATTTTACTATACAAACCTTACTTAGTACTCTAAGTAAACTTATTCCTGTAATAAAAATATATATTAATACAAATTTAGACCAACCTCTTGATTGGTTCCAACACTTTCTAATTTTATCTGAAAGTGGTCTTTTTCCTTTTACCCAATTAACAATTCAAACAATCAACTTCTTA